CTGATTATCTGCTTATGATCAGTATCTAAGAAATGAGAAAGGTTTGAAAATGATAAAAAAAAAAAATTATATATTTTGAATAATATACTATCTGATTTGTAAAGATAGATATAATTTATTTTTGATAGGCTATAGAGATGTCCTAACCACCTACCTGTACTGAAATTACTTTATATCTGATTATTAAATTAATCTTATTATAGCCTGATTGATTATTCAACAGATTGTTTGGTTTTAATTAATTATTGGGTTTGTGCATTTATTGAGATCCTGTTGGGTTCAGATAAATTATACCCATCATCCTTTCTTGGTAGCTTGACTACATATCACAAATCCTCAAATCTTTTTACTATCAATCCCTTCTAGGATTTCTCAGTATTTTATCTTACCCTTTGTCTTTTTGTACTAATAGATTTAGTAGGTATAATAAAATATAAATCTGATAAGCCAGTATTAATCCATACACTGTTTTTATACAAAAGAATGACATAGCAGGATCTACTTACTGCAATTAATACTTACAGGATCTAGAAAAGATCTACTTACTGCATTAAAGTTTGAGAAATGCAGAAAAGGGCCATGTGTATCAGACATAGGCCGTATTCAATATTATTTAGTAAACCAAAACATTTTAAACTAAAAAAAAAGGCTCTAACAAAGGACCCTTTGTCACCAAGCCTTTACGACTTACATAAATAGTTAGAAGTTTGAAATTTTTCTGTTTTAATCCTTGCATGATTTTAGAAAAATTGATTTTTAGAAAATAACAAACAAAACTGTAGACTGGATATGAAGCCTTAACATACTGTATTAAGCTCTTGGGCTGCCAGTTTGTAACCCTGACTTAGAGCGTGAAAATTTATAACATCCTGAACTTTCAAATACATAACTCATTAGATTTGTAATGAATCATTTTCAACTGACCACTTCAGTGATCCCTGCTATATTCTGCAGTAAAAATAATATAATTCAAGAGGGGTAGCAAGTTAGCTGACACTGAATAGATAAAAGGGACCTATAAGAAGAATAATTATCATAACATTTACAAATTTTACCAGATTTTCATAATTTTCTAGAGTTTTAAATAAAATAAACTTGTTTTCTTTTTTATCTAAATATTAGAAAATATTCCTACATTTTACACAGTAGGGAAACAGTCCCGGTAGACCAGGGACTGAGCTGTTTCTTCTTCCCTATGTGTATTGTATAGTGTAGTATAAAATAATGATGTATTCTTTAGTAGCGTAGTACAGTAAGAATATATAGTGAAGTCAAGTACAGAAATACTAGACTTTATATATTTTTCTATAGTATTTTATAGAATAATACGGTTACTAGAGTCTTATTCTAAGTATAACCTAATTGTATAATAAAGAAGATTTATCCTTTTCTCACATTTTCCAGCAGTAACTGTTTAATAAACAAATGTTTTTGGCCACATTCAGGGGCCTACATCAGGTTAAGCTTATACGAAATCAAACGTATGTAGCAGTTTGAAGCTTGGAAGATTGCCGATTTTCTTTGATGTCATTATTTTTTAACATTCAGTTTTGTATAAGCTTAACCTGACCCAATGTGGCCAAAAACATTTGTTTATTAAACAGTTTTATTACTGTTTTATTAATGATTTTATTACTGCTGAAAAGTGTGAGAAAGGTGTGAATTTTCTTAATTATATGATAGTTTCAGCTTACAGATTCAAGAAGTCTAATTGTATAATATAAGCTAGGTAATTTTTACATTCTACAGAATTACTATTATACAATGTTTCTATATTTTGTATGTAATATAAATTAATGCAATATAAGCATTAATTTATACAGTATAATGCAATACACCAATGCAATATATCAATGCTTATATTGAATGCAGAAGTATTTAATATATTTAATAATGAGAAATAATGTTAAAATTCCTGTTTTTAGTGAAATAATTGACATTAAAATTGATCTCGGAAACAGAATTGTCACAGAAAACATAATGAAACAAAATAAAGGCAAGAAGACAGTAAAGTCTTCCTTTCTCATCCAGAAGAAGTGAGAATAATAAAACAAAAAACTATTAAGATGAACATTACTCAAAATAGGTCATGAGATTGGCCACGATGGGTGATTAAAAGACATCGACATTTCATTGCCGTGGTGGCCGACCTCCTGACCTACTTCAAGTAATGGACAGAAGGGAACCTTGGAGAAACCTCCAAGATTCTCTTCTGTCCTTCACTTTCTTTCACCAGTTATTAATTCAGAGTTTGAGGAATTTCCAATGTCCTTGGCAGACTGAGAACCTTGGAAGTTCTTCCAGCTGAAGACCATGAATTCTTTACTTGTGCTTACCATTGATTTCATGCATAAATTAATTAAATTTTAAACAAGTACATTTGAAATATTCAAAAATAATTCATTAACAGGTACAAAGCCTCATTAATTAAATTGTTAGTGAACATGGTGTAAGTCACTTTTCATCTACTTGTATATTGAGAAATTTAGACATAAACTTCTGGAGATTTTTTGTTAAGTGCTTTTACTGAGTAACACAAATATTTCTTGATACAATTTCATGGTGAACTCAGGATATGTTTTTCTTCCAATTAGAAGTTCAGACTACAGTAGAGCATCGATTATCCGACTCAATTGGGGACTCAGGTTGGTCGGATAACCGAAAAGAAGGGGAAAAAGTACATTATTAGTATAGTATATTAGGATATTAGTATATCCCATGTAATGAGTTTATTAGTATATCACTATTAACCAACTTCACGTTGAATTTTCATCGATGTTTAGCGTAACAAATTTTCTAAAAAATAATAATTGTCGCTATTATATTGTTAAAAATTATTTTAAAATTATTTTATTGCTCATGAAACAAACAACCACTCTTAATTAGAAAATTAAGTCTCGTTTAAATACTGGCCTCCCTTCAATGGTCGAGCTGTTGATGCCAGCTAAAGCACGCAAAAATTTAACAGAAATAATAAACTAGCCAAGACATAGCCAAATATTGTAATGCCACATCACTAGCGGACGTTTGAAATTTGCCGACTAGAACGGTCGGTTAACCGATGTGATGGTTAATCAGGGGTCGGATAATCGATGCTCTACTGTATTTACAAAAATTTTTTGTAAATAGTCTGAACTTCTAATTGGAACAAATATTTCTATTTCTTTACAACAAATATGTAAATATGGTAGACTCCCATACTCGAAGCAGATAATAGAAAATTCTAGATCAGAGAATGTGATAATTTCTAAATAAGACTGTAATATTTATGCCTACTCTATGTATAAAAAGAATGTTTATTTTGACTTAAGATTCAGATTAGTGTACAGTATTTTTGAAAATTTTTTGCTGCCTCCAATCGGTTCAGATAAGGGAGCGTCTGGATATTGGAGGGCCATTTGTGGGAGTCTACTGTAATGCTGTCAGGAACTGAAACTCAGCAGCAGCATAATCTTTTGGAAAAAAACCAACTGACACCATTTTCACTTTCAATGGTTTGTCTGCTGAACTTGCTTGATAATTGGATTCTCTCGCTGACTAACCTGAAAATTTAACAAGTTTAGTTGCACTCAAGTGAGTCTTTTTCTGGTAAGTACTGTTAATTTTGAGTGTAACTGATCTTATATTTATAAAATTTATTTATTTGACAAACAGAATGAGAATGGACTTTGTCTTTTCTGGAATTGCCTCTTTGTGCTTGTGTTTTAGATATTCATTCTTAATGTTGTAATATTAATGCTTGATGATTTGGACCCTCACTTTATGATTAATGTAACATTTTAAAATGTATTTATCATAATAAAGTGTGAGTTATAGTGCAAAGAAATACAGTGGATTCTCAATCTATCATTTTTGATGGGACTTGGGGGAAAAAATGACTAATGAAGGAAAATGATTGATACAGGAATGGTAGATCGAACAGTGTGTTTATTTGGGTAAATGTGGATTTTGTGTTTGTTAATGAATTATTTTTTATTGTTTTTATGTCGCAAATGTACATAGCCTAAATTTAATTAATTTACACTTCACCAATTGTAATTAATAAGCCAATCAATGATTTAAATGAATGCATTTTGGATAAATAAGTCAATTAATTAAACAATGCAGATGCAAATATTTTGGGTAACCTACATTTAGCATACAAAACAAGAATTTGGTTTGAATAAATGCAATTTCAATTGTTATATTTTAACCTAAATTATACAGTATAATAAAATTTTAATCATACCTTCAAGTTCTCCAGACGTACTTGTCCGAGGCTGCTTCGTTGGCTTATTATTATTATTATTGTTATTATTATTATTGGATGCTGAATTTCGAAGACTGCATTCAGAGGATTCTGACGACCAACGTCTTTTTTGTATATGTGCTGCATTTTCATTCTGCAATGATGATGGCTCTTCTAAAAAGTATATATATTCATAAATAAAATGCTAATCGACTATAGTAATACTATAAACTTAAAGTTTCTTAAAAATGTAATACACAACCTTCCTGTTATGAAACATTTTATAGATAGTAATCATGATACACTGCTAACAAATGCTGAGATCTAATCTATTATATTTTTTGTTTCTAATTTTTAGATTAATAGTTATAAAAGATATTAAAAAAGTTAATATTGAATGATCAAATGAAATGTGTACTTGCAAATTGAGTATAATGAGAGGTTTCATGATGCTGTGAGTCAGATTTGAGAAGAGCCATAATTTCAACTATGATTAACTGAACCAAATACAATCAATCAATCAATCGTTTTTATTAGGTGCTCGAGGCACATACTCAGCACCGCAAGAGCACAGCTGAGAAAAATTATATACATTTACAATAGTACATATTAACAGTGTATACAAAACTGTCAGTTAAATACAAAATATTACAGAGAGAATAATCAATACATTAATAACATTAATACAGAATAACAATGAAATATTATTAAAGAANAAATAGTTTCAGTTGTTTGGATCTTGAATATTGAAATAAAAAATAAAATATTTCAGGTACATCAGAAGTTTTAGATTCAAAGAAAAAAGCTGATGGTGCAAACAAATCTCCAACAGATGCGGGAGGTGGAGATGATTTACCAGCAGGTAAAAATAATTTATGTATTTTATTTTTACATAAAATTGTTTTGAAAATTGTGTAATTTTGTAAAGACGAACTAGCCACTGTAGGTTACTCGCAGAATTAAGCAATTTGCGTTTAGCATTTTCAGACGTGGACAGTTCACTTATTTTGAAATACGGGCGATGTCTCGAGGACATTTGTTGCTCTCCAATGCAACAAACAATCGACAAAAATATTCACAAAAATACAGAATAACAATAATAATTAATATAAGAGTGAAATAAGCGGTGTAAAGTTTGAAAATAGGCATTCTTCAATTTAAATTGGTGATTTAGGGGAGAAGGATTATAAGGTCAAAGTCTAGGACTGATGATTTTTTTTTTACAAAATAGTTGCTGTAGCAATTGCAGTGCAAATATCATTGCTTGTATTGTTCTGATTGGCATTACTCTTGAGGAATTTATAATGATTGATACTTCTAGTTGACAATGTACTGTACATACCTGCTGCTTCTTGGATAGCAGTGGCATGTTATAGCATCATGGGGTCTAGGAAAATTTGAATTAGGGGCCTCATGGACAGTGTTGACTTCCAACATTTTTCTTAGGGAAAATATTTTCTTATAGAAGATTGGTAGGGGCCTAGGCCCTTTTTGCCTACAGGATAATTCACTGTAAACTTGTCTTTCTTATTAAATTTCTTGTGCATTATAAGAGATTTGGGTCAGTTCTGCAGAAATTATTGAACAAACTGGTCCAAATTTACTAGAGATAAATAAGAAATAAAGTTTTTATAATTGGGTATATATTTATATACAAGATGAATCATTGATAAAACAATGCTGCAATAAATAATAATTTGAGCTGTTCAAGGAAAAGAGAGTGGGGATTATAGCTTAGATTTTAGAAAAAAATAAAAGCATTTTCTGTGCTTTATCTTGAATCCTTTCTAATTCCTAATAATTTAATTTTCTCTTCATGTTAATAGAATAAGAGAGGATTATCCTTTGTTAACAAAATTAATATATAACTTCAGTTTTGGTCATATGGTTTCATGATATTTAGTTTTTGTTTTGTTTCTTTATATATGAAGTTCATTGCTTTTTGTTGCCATTTCTTGTGTTTGTAATTAAATAATTGAAAAATGAATGTAACCAAAGTGATTATATTTGAATTAAATTAAGTAAGTGAATTTTTATGTATTGTCTGCTCTCGATGATGATTTGTTAGCTTGTAGATTTTGGTCTTAGACCTGGTATTTAAAACAATGCAGAATCGATTTAAAATGAACAGATCAAGTAGAATCAAAATTTTGCATTTAATATTTAATTGTAATAACCAAAGCACTTTTCCAGCAATGGATTGGTTATCTGGCAAACATTTTTTACTTAATTTACATCTGCCTCAGATCAACGTAGAACTTTCTGTAGTTACAAAATGGAATGCATCTTCATTCTATAACACTTTTTGAATTTTAAAATGATAGAAAGTTTTATGTTGATAGAGAGTTCTATGTTGATAACAAATCTTTTGCTGAAAAAGTGCTCTGGTTGTTACAGTTATTTGTGACAATGTGCAAAGTGACTCCTGTGCTTCTGCATCATAGGACTGAAGGGTCGGCACCACTTTGTTGATGCCAAGTCAGGATTCTGACACCACTGTGTCTTTACGAACAGACACAGAAACCTTGATGGCCACTAATTTCATTTTGTGCGAGTGGTCATGTTTGTAGATACTCAGATTCGGGATGGAGATGGTCCAAGAGACAGCGTGTTCGGAGAAAGAAGTGCACTAAACTACTGCATTTCTAAACAGTTACCTGTTTTATTGTACAGACTTGTTTACACATAATACACACATTAGAATTAACTGTATACAGCATCCATTAACTATATCCATATCAATGATCAACAATGTTATATTGAATCCCTAACTGAAAGAGAGCATTTACAATAGAAACCAAGATGAGGTTGATAAATACCTTTTATAGAGATGAGTTCTTTCCTGGGGACTTCAAGGACTTGAGTGACGGGTGATGGAAAAGTTGGTGAAGGTTTGGTAGATGAGCAGAAGTGGATATAATGTCTCTGGATGAGGTGTAGTTTTCTGATCTGTAGAGGTCCTCAAAAAATGATTCATGAGATATCCAAATTAATTGCGCTGTCCGAGGAGATCAGGTTGAATTCTGATGAGATAGCAAACCATAATCCTGATGGAATACTGGACCCTGACTCTAACCGACTCGAGATGATTGATGAACACCTGTCAGCATGATCCTGCTCTTTTATTTTGGAGGTCCTCCCCCTCACTACTTTTGCCCTTTTTGGATAAACTGTAAAGTCCACATCCAATAGTGATTTTTTTTTTTCTGTTAGTTTCCAGTGACACATCTTCTGGATGTGTCAGTGGAAACTAATAAGAAAGCAAGTCCGTGGGAAAGGTTACAATCATATCCTTTATGAGTTTTTCTCTTTCAAAAACATTTTTGGAATAAAATTTTTTTGTCAAGTCTGGGCTCTCACATCATGATGGATGCTTCTTTTGATAAACTGAATGAAGAAATCTATTTTGGTTTATCAAAAGAAGCATCTATCATAAATGAAAAATTTGAAAAAAAACTATTACAGTAAAGTATTAAAATACATTCCAGCTTTCCAAAGTTATATTTTACATGCATTTTACTACACAGGTTCCAAATTCCAATCCCTCCTTTGCAATTCACACTTTCAATCAGGAAAGATGACAAAAATGTAGTTTTTTTTATTCTTTTTGTTCTATGGGCACAAAGAAGACAATTTTTATCATATCCATTATTGGTTTTGCCAGCCCACAATGGGGACAGCCAGATGGCAAGGGGACGGGGTTTGACATAACTGGAACAAACTACCCCAAAAAATTTCTGGAGCTTTTTGACTGTCCAGATTTTATCTTGGGTTCCTCAAACAGTAGGATGATGCCTTTAACTATCTTGGGATTTGGCATTGACAGAAATGCAGCATGGGAAGAACACTTTCTGAGGCAAATACAGCTGCAGAGCATAAATTAGGAGTAGTCCAAACACATCAAACTTTATGAAGATTGTGAAGTTTATAAAATAATCATAAGATATATCATACAAATTTTATTTTGTAATCAACTTATCAATGAATATAAAATTATATCGTTATATAATTTTACTTTTCATTGATTCTGATATCAACTTGTGTTGTTTTATTCTAGATTTATCAATAATTCACTTTCTTTTAAATTATGACAAATTTTCTTCTGTATAATAATCCTTACTTCCATTCTTTGTTTAATTATTGATTCTTCTATTATAAAATTCTTAAATTTCCAATTGCAATTTAATGGAAATAGAATTTTTATGAGAAGACTATCTAACATTTATTCTTATCATTTAATAACACATTTATAGTTTAATTACAGTATATACTTTGGACTGCTGTCAGTACATCTCTGATAAGTTAACTATAGTAAATGGTAATAGGAGACTAAAAATCAGTTAAATGCCAAATTGCAAATGAGATAATTATAGTGTCTTATCCAAACCTTAAAATATCTGTCAAATTTGAACAGGAAAATTGGCATTTTTCATATTTATGTGCAGTGAGAAATTTGTAATAACATAAAGTTACACGTATGGCATTGCTTACAAGACCCATAAGTTGTATGTCCTGCATTTTCACTTTGTAGTGGATGACATTTCCACATGCTCGTGGATGTTCTGGTTATTGGAATTACTTTGTTACTGATCCCATAATCTCCCATGGAATCTGGGCATCTCAATTATCCAGCAAGCTTAGAACTGAGAGTTGTCTGGATTTTCTGGACACTGGCTAAATGCAGACTTAAAATATAAAATAAACAATAGAAAGTTAAGAATGAAATTGTATTTAACAGATACAAATTAATACACTTTTAAAGCAGAGTTTGTTTTGAACATTATTAATTCTCTTAAAATATAGAATAACATGATGTACAATGTAATTCTTAGGTTGAAAATTAAACAAACAAAAGTTAAGAAAATAATGGAACCAGTGTTGTATGACACATATACCTTGGAAATTAAAACAAAGTGCCCATGTGGTGAACTCCAACTGTGTTACGTCATGCCTAATTCAAAAGTATATGTTAATTTATAATAAAATAGTCAATTTTTTGATAATTATGGATTTCTGGAAGCCAAATAATTAGTCCAATACTACTTGCATATATAAGCATATATGGAAAGAAAAGTAAAGATAAAATTGTTAGACGATGATAAACAGTTATGTAGAGTTACAGATTTGTAATATATTGTACAATTTTATTTCTATAGATATTTTTAGATTGTCAAAAGCTAAGGAAACAAAATAAATTTTACAATACTTTGAAGTTTTCATTACATTTTTGTAAATTTTAAATTGGAAATAACATAAAGATATTTATAAGATTACAGGAATATAATGAAAATAGCAAAATGAATATTTGTTATACTATTGGGTTTACATACCATACCTTGTATTAAATACTGTAATTCTTTAAACTCTGCAATCCTGCCTTTGTGTGTATTTGTATTTAAATGTATGATTGCTGCAATCCAATATGAGAAATTTTTGTTATATTTATTATAATCTAGATAAATTTTGTATTTGAATATATTTTAAATAAAAATGGTGGAATATCTGCACCGTAGTACTGTAACACCAACTCGTATCTACAAACCTTTTACCGGTGCATGTATCATCACACTCTACAACAGTTACAAATGTTTTTGAACCATTACGGTTCTTCTTCAGGTAATGATCCCCTAACAGAATGCGGTTCAAAGTTGTTATGAAATACGATCTGGAATGATGTCCAGACCCGATGACATCACTACGGACATGCGTGTTATGCATTGTATGCTCTATCTTAGAGATTTATCTATCAGGGCCTGCCAGGCCGTCGATAGAGCAATTTCATTTTTGAAGTTAATGCAATTACGTCCTTCACTCGTGTTTAGGCATATGTAGATTGCCTCCAGCCATCTGAGTTGGTTCATACGGTGGGTGGTGTGAATGATCTTTGCTTGCTTTGCTTGTCAGACCCTGACATAGAACCCATATTCTCTCAAGCAAAAGTCATTCACACCACCCACCGTATGAACCAACTCAGATGGCTGGAGGCGATCTACATATGCCTAAACACGAGTGAAGGACGTAATTGCATTAACTACAAGGATGAAATTTCTCTATCGACGGCCTGGCAGGCCCTGATAGATAAATCTCTAAGATAGAGCACACAATGCATAATGCGCAAGTCCGTAGTGACGTCATCGGGTCGGGACATTGTTCCGGATCGTATTTCATAACAACTTTGAACCGCATTCTGTTAGGGGATCATTACCTGAAGAAGAACCGTAACGGTTCAAAAACATTTGTAACTGTTGTAGAGTGTGATGATACATGCATCGGTAAAAGGTTTGTAGATACGAGTTGGTGTTATTTTAAATAATTTCAGAGTTATCAAAGAGGGACCACAAAACAAAAATTGACCTGAAATGCATTAAATAACACGTGCAAATGAGCAGACAAAATGAAGTTAGACTACTTTTTTTTTATCATTGAATTGCCGACTGTATTTTCATACACCTGCAAAGGCAGGATTGCAAGTTTAAAAGATTATTTAATATGAATATTTGCTATTAATGTAAAAGTTATTCGTGGTTAAGATTATTAAAGCATTTTTCATTACTAGTAAAAAATCTAAAATGACATTGTAAGTGCAGACCTATATACACATTATGTAAAATTATTGTAAGTTTAGCCCACCAGTGACTGATTGGATAGAACTACTTGACAAAGTTTTTCAGGTTTTCTTTGAATATCTAATGCTAATTTTACAATATCTCCGGTTCACTGCAAAATGAAGGACAAAACCAGTTTTTTGTTGGCAATCGATTGTTGAGAGATCTTTCCTTTTACTTTTATTCCTTGAGAAATTTCACATTGAAATTCTCTGTCCAAATGTTTAAATAGAGCAGTGCTTTTCATCCTTTTTCTCATCGCAGTAATAGATTGGTAAAATTATGGATAATTTTTATATGGAACAAGTAATTATATGCAACTATGAATTATGCTTATATATGCTTATCTAGAGTTACCATATGTAGCAAAGTACATATGGTAACTCCAGATTACTATTTAAATGTCACTTGTAGTCAACTGCACCAGCTCCAGTACTGTCAAATATTTTTATGGGAATTGATGATTGAAAAACTCTGGAATAGAGAACAGAAGTTGGTTCTAGATTCTGAAGATGGATAACTTAGTCCAGAAGAGCTTAATCAAGTTTGTAAAAGTGTATACATTAAGTGGTCAGTGATAGCTGATTTAGATCTTTAATTGTTATAAGGCATAGTTGAGGAATTTTCTTTTTTATGATGCTATTAAGCAAATTGCCACATGTTTAGTGTAGTCTAGGTTATATCAAAATTGGATCTGTTGTACAATTTATCATCAAGATATTTTTAATTGAGAGATTTAGGACACACACTCATGTATAAGAACTTGAGATTATGCCCTGAATCTCATGTTCTGTGTTAAAGGTTGTACAATTAAATAATGAGACAGACATCACGAAATAAAAAGAAACAAAATAAATACATTTTATTCAAAGTATATTTGTGCTACATCAATGTAGCAAGTTTTACAGTCCAGTAAGAACTTGAAAGGTCCCTGTAAGTCTTTGTCACAGAGACCAGATGTCACAACCTGTTAGATGTCTTTAGTGTCTTGAAATTGATGTCATTTCAGTGACAACTTTAATGTGGAAAACAGAAAATAATCACAAGGAGTTAAATCTAGGGAATAGAGTGAATGATTGAAAGTGCACACTTGTTTTGGGCCAAGAATTCATGGACAACTAGTATCTTGTTAGCTAGAGTATTATCATGAAGGAACCAACTGCCTGCTGATGAGTGCATAGACAATCTCTTTCTAGAAGCATTCCAGAATACTCTCATAACCCATGAATTCCTTCACTTTCATAAAAGTACACTAGCACTGTCTTCATCTTTTGAATTTTTAAGGTAATCTTTCAAGGTACTATTGATGGTAACTTCCATTTAGCATTTTGATATTTAGTTGAAGGATTTTAGTTGAAAATACATCAACTTTCTTGTTTCAAATCTTCTACTCAAACTGAAGTTGACATCCAGGTCTGTCATTGTCATTAAGGATTAAATCACATAAATTTTTGAGCATGAGATAAACATGCATCATCATATGATATGCTTGCACCATCTCAGATGCACTTTTCCAGATTTAAAATAGAATATGATATTTGCTCTCTGCTCTACAGAATTTTCATGACAAAGCATTATACTATTCTTGCAAAATAGCAGCAGATTTAATGCCATGCTTAGTGTGGAACTATATGATGTTGCTGGACTGCCGATTATGGAACACACTACGGAATGCATGCAATTTTTGCTACATGGCATTTATGTATTGGTCAGTAAAACATTTAAGGGTATGTCCTACAGCTACCAGCAACTGCCAGCATGAACGTGCTACCAAGTGGAGTGGACAAACTGATACAAGTGAATGCGCATGTCTGGGGTAACTGTGTTTAGTGTACAGTAGGGAGTCTCAAACTCAAATGCAGCAAAGGGCCAGTCAAATACATGTATATCAGATGCAGGCCATATTCAATATTAATTGGTAAACCAAACTATACTGTAAACTAAAAAAATGGCTCTAACAAAGGCCATTTTGTTGCCAGGTGTTTACAACCTACATAAATGGTTAGAAGTTTGTTCTGTTTTAATCCCAGCAAGATGTTAGAAACAGTGGTTTTTAGAAAATAAATCATTAAGGCCACGGGCTGGATGTGAAGCCATAATGGGCCATATCTAGCCCACTGACCTCCAGTTTGCAACCCCTGATGTACAGCAATCACCGGATGATGATTCTATATGCATGTGCAGAAAAGTAGCTATCAAGCAAGTTTGATTGCTGCTTTCACTGCATCTAAAGAAAAGCTTGATCAACTTTTTATTTCATGAATCAATGGCAAAATTCACCAAACCCACAACATTTCTTAGAAATATTGCATATCTTTGGCCTGTAAGAAGTTTCAGTAATACAATGTAGAAAACTTTTCCATGGAAATCATTCGATGAAGTTGTCTGTCATTTTGTAAACAATACACATCCATTCCAGACAGAGATCGCTCACAAGCTGGAAGAATGTACAATGAATCCACTTGCGGTCGCTGGATGCTACCAAGTAGGACATAGCCTAACTCATTATTTAATTGATGAACTTTGTAAATAAAATATGATGACAACATTGCACACCACAAAAGATTTGTAGACCAATGTATAAATTTTTTGATTCAAGACCTTCAGAAGGAGAGTTCTGCTACACTCTCTGTGCCTCTTTTTGGAAGGTGCAGAGGATGTAGCTATGATTTTATAAGTGATCTTGCTCTTGCTCATATATGATTTTATTAAATTCTATCCACATAAATGAGTGTGTAAAAAATATAACCAACCCAGTATTACTTCGTGTATCGGATGAAATGCTAGATTCCTTTATCAGGTTACTAAGGCCAAATAATTGTCAAGTAATTTTGCTGGAGGTAGATGGTTAAATTGCCATCTCTTGTCAACTTCACCTTAATAGCATGATAAAGAAATCTGGCTATTTTTGATATAAATGAGTTTTTGCAACATTTAAATACACTTGCACTTTCACGTGCACGTATTATACAAGTGCGAGCAAATAAATTGTAATTATTTTGAATTAATTTTTATTTTCTGTTAAATGCTAGATTGGGAAAATGTCGAAATAGAGGAATCAAATGCCGAAGAAGCAACAGAAGATGGGCAAGAAGAAGAAGTCGAAATAGAAGTCGTAGCAAAGAGTAAGAAGAAAGTGCTCCAAAAGGAGGAAGAAGGTCCTCGAAAAGAGCACGTCAATGTTGTATTCATTGGACACGTAGGTGAGGGTAAAATTATTATCTCCATGGTTGGTTTGAAGAAATTTTGAAGTTTTCCTTCAAAATTTCTTCAAACCAACTCTTTTTTTGAAAAATTTCTTCAAACCAACTCTATGCGACTCTTTTTTTGAAAAATTATTTTAAAATTCACCGATGTTTTGCATAAAGGTAGTAAATTTTTTAGAGGTTTTGACTGTCTAAGATGCAACATATTTTTATCATTTTTATATTATAAGAATTATTAAAATAGAAAATTGATATGTATCTATGAAATAATACAAAAAATAAAGGAAAATATGTTTATAAAACGATGATGATATTTTTTAGCTACGTAATGAATAGAATTCAGAAGTTAATGATGCAGTATATTCATTTGCAAATTTTCTGTTGGGGGAATGCACGAATATTTAATTTTAATTCAAGCTGATATGAAATTTCACTTATTGTTTAGGGTTTGTCAGTGGCAGTTTGAAATAAAAATGGATTTTTTTTGTTTTTGTTTTTTTTTATTTCACTCTCAGTTTTGCATAAAAATTGGTTTGGTAACTGAGACTGACTCTTGCATACCTCTAACATCCTTAATTTTCTATTTCTTTTTTGTTTTAAATCAGGTGTTTAGATGTTGAATGTTCCAATTTCATTTTTAAAACACAGGGAGATCCTGTGTTTTAAATGTGAAACACGTAAATCGTAAAAAAACCAAAAAATACCCCGCACTTTGGCAAATTTTCAAATTAACATCTGTGATCTTAGCCGACACACTTTATCGTAGATTTTCCCAGGATTGCTTTAATTTCTGTCCAACCTTGTTCACATGTTTGAACACTTTCTGCGTCCTTGCATTATATTAATATTTTATTATCGCTGATGTATTGATGCTAGTTTTTACTGGGCAGAGACTTGTGTTCAACCGATGGATGGATCGAAACACGTTTGAATGAATTGTGATTTTCCTCTACCCATCTTCTGCTCCATCCTATAAATGATTGTAAATCAATGGGCTATTTAACAAAAATCGTGATTTTCTTGTATAATTTGGTGACTGTCTCGAGATAAATTTGAATTTTTGGGTCATTTCCTAATCTGAAGTTGCATTTGGCAGTTTGGCAATTGACGGCATAGAATCCAAGAAAGAGTTTAAAAATAATAATAATTGAATGAATAGATTTTTTTAAAGAGTTTGCTTTTAAACTATATTATTATTATTAATATTAATATTAATATTTTCTTGTTTCTACAGATGCAGGGAAATCAACTATTGGTGGCCAGTTACTGTATGTAATCTTTTCTTATAATAATACATAGTTGCTTATATATTCATTTAATTATTCTACTTAATAAAAAAAATCACTTTTACTAATTTAGTTAATATTTTAAACGTTTAACTGATTTATTATCATTATTCGTTAAGCTATGTCATTATACTTTATTGAATGGTGGTAAAATTTAGAATCAATTGCTTTATTAGAAATTGTAAATCTATGAAGTTAGAAGCTGTTAAGCCATTGAAAACAGTTTTGTTAATAAATTTAAATGTATGAAATTTCAGAACTGTTATAACTTAATATTTCTTTTTAAAAAAGAAAAAGCTGGGTAAATCCGGAAATTAGTAGAGTGGCACCTCGGTATTTGAACTTAATTTGTTGCAGAAGGCCATTGGAGTGCCAAACGAATTTTTCTGTAAGGAATAATGTAGATTAGATTAATCTGTTCCAGATTCCCTGAAAATACACTTATAAAAGCATTTTAATTAGAATTTAACACTAATTTGATGAGACATTTACACACAAATCATATAAAAAACCAAACAATACCCATATGCAATACAGAATAGTAAAATATGTTAATTAATTTTATGTAAATCGAAAGGATTTGTATGTTATCTGCATTAAACTATGCTGGAATTTCATTTATAAGGTTCAGAGGTTTGCATTTTTTATAATTTTATGGGGTTGAATGGAAAGTTTTTGGACACTTTTAACAGCAGATGTATGATTTAACTGTAACACTTGCGAAATTTAACTGACAAAGATTCGCAAAGGCAGTTTTTTGAATTGGTTGTTTGATGATATAATTTTTTAAATACATAATAAAGCAGTTAATTCTCTACTCGAGTAGAAAGAGTTTGAGTCGGTCAATAATTATAATTTTTATTTAAACGATTAATTTTATTAAATGTTATTTATTGAATAATAAATTTTTTCTCGTGAAAATAGATACTTAACTGGAATGGTCGATAAGAGAACATTGGAGAAATACGAAAGAGAAGCCAAAGAGAAAAATCGCGAATCTTGGTACTTGTCCTGGGCTCTCGACACTAATCAGGTACTGATAATTACTAACAAATACTGCATTTAATTATGTTAAATTTGTCTAAATTAATTTAGAGGCTGTGAAAAGACTCAAATAGAAGTTTTGGTTATTGCAGTAAAGTTCTGTAGCTATTACTTATCCTATAATTCAATAATCTTCAACCTAGAATAATGGCAATGGGGAATTGCTTCTAAATAATCATTATTCATAAGAAATAATTTAAACTTTCATGGCTGTTGTAGAATATAATGTAGGAAAGAATGGTGATTAATCAAATTTTAACTCCAGTGTTTTGCATTTCTCAAATTTTTGACATCTAGGAACCCAAAAAATGTTAAAAACTCCTTAAATTCTCTATGTATATGTATATCGGTATTTATTTTGCATTATGTCTTGGGACCGGATTAACCAAAAATTTGAAACTTGGCAAGGTCTTTTATATATGGGGCATTGATGCTATTAAATTTTGGTGGTGAAAGCTCAAGGGGTTGGGAGATAATTGGTCAAGGGTCATATCTCTAGTGGGGTCAGACTTAATGAAACTTTTACTTGTTATTGGGATTTATAATGCTTTAAAAACTCTCTCTAACTTCAAAAGTAAGGCTTTTGCCTTGCTGTTGGAGATAATGGATGGCCGCCATCGGTTAGACAAAACCTGGCCGTCTTTCTCCATCCATTTTGATCTCCACAAAGACTGTCTTTATCAGAAGGCGGTAAATGTGAATTAGTTAAGTCCACGATCACGTTTTAAACTAAAACAATATTTATTTACAACAATCTTACGAGTACACTTGTAAGAGTACTTGAGAGAGAGCTACACATGCTCATGGCAGCGATCACCTGGCAAGAATAAGCAACAATACCCAGAATCCCCTGCGGGGAAAAAACTCGTCCCCGTTTTTCAGTCCGGGATTCTCAGGGAACTCCTAGAGGAGTGATGCCATCTCATGAGTCCGTGATGGTCGCCGCACCGTAATAATTAGTAGTATAAAGATTATTTTTAATAAAATCTTTTAAGAGATTGCACCAGACATAATTTTTGAATTTAAACTTAAAGGATGTTATAACAGCTTGGAAAGTAAAATGCAGATTGTTCTCTTAAGCTATGTTTCCACATATGGTGATTGTTGGGGCCAGGAACATACCAATTTAATGATGCCAAAGGATGTATACTCTTACTGATGCAGTCATATTGGCATCAGTTAAGTGGAGTTGCCTAAATATGCATGTTTCCACATATAAATAATTGGTGCCAATAATCATTGCACCTAGCAACTTAGCTTTTCAATTTAATTTTGCCGCTTGTATGCATTGATCCTATAATTTGTTAATGTTAGAGTTTTCAAGTTGTCGCTTGAATTCTATTTCATTTAAAAATTTGGACTTAATAGCATCAATGTCTTGGCCTCTTGTAACATTTTAAAGACAAGTTCTATGGTTTAATCATTTTGTTTTATGATTTTATAAGTGATAAAATAAAACTGGTAAACTCACGTTCATTATAAAGTTTTAGAAGTCAGTCGATAGTTTACCTAAACACTTTCAAAGTGAGGATATGACTTAAATTATATTAAATTTAGTAATAATAAAGCAATGAAATTTCATTAGAGATGAAAGTGATTAAAAATATTCTCCACTTTCATCATATTTATCAACTATTTTTAGTTGATAAATATGTTGATATCAACTATTTTTAGTTGATAAATATGATGAAAGTGGTTACAGAACTTTTTACTGCACATAAATTAAAATCTGTAGTATTAAGAACATTTATGTGCATTTCAGGAAGAGAGAGATAAGGGTAAAACAGTGGAAGTCGGAAGAGCTTTCTTTGAAACTGAAAATAAACATTTTACTCTCCTCGATGCTCCTGGTCATCGTAGTTTTGTACCTAATATGATCGGAGGAACCTGCCAGGCCGACCTTGCCGTTCTTGTAAGAATTAACTATTTAATTTTACTTTCTGTAATTAGTTTTCATTGGTGAGTTCTGATCTCTGTTCTTTTTTTAAAAAAATTACTGCTGGTTCTGTGGTAATTTGTGATTAACACATAGAACAAAATAGAATTGTAAGCCAAAAGAATTGGAGTAAAATTTCGTATGTTATCATGTGCTTTACATGAATTCCTACTCAGGAAAGCACTTGATAATGCACATAAAGATAACTCTAGAAATGATTTGTTGGAGTTAAATTTTGCAACCCTTTCTCCAATTTAAATAAATGTAACTGATTTAAAATGATAATTTATTTTCGAATGATATCATATTTAACTAAATTTAATATATTTTTTAAAAATAAATTATTAGGTTATTTCTGCTAGAAAAGGAGAATTTGAAACTGGATTTGAAAGAGGTGGTCAAACAAGGGAGCATGCAATGTTAGCAAAGACTGCAGGAGTGAAACACATGGTTGTATTAATCAACAAGATGGATGATCCTACGGTAGAATGGTCCGAAGAGAGGTACGTTGATGCTGAAGTGAATAAATTATTGTTTTAGTTTCTGATATTTGGTTGACTTGTTTTTTGTAACAAATAAAAAGCTGTTCTTTAGCTGGCATATTTGTAAAATTATTAGCAAATATGTCTGGTGCCACTCAGGAAAAAGTAACGAGGACTAAGTTTGGTTGTTTTAGCCTATTTTTTCATGTTTATCACAAAATGTCAATAGGATGAGATCTTTGGATGCAGTTGGATGTTGAGGTTTTATTTAGTTTATATTTTCCACAGCATTCTAGAGAGGAAGATTTGTTTCACACTTCTTTTATTTTTATGCATCTCTGACTAGCTGATGTTTAAACCTTGTGTTTAGTTGTTACACTTGTTATGGAGAGGGAAGTAGAATATTCTCACTGCTGCTAGGTGGATTATGTGAAAGACCGCAATGACTTTTGTACATCTGATGAGACGGTGTCTGACAGTGAACAACACAGATTTTGTCTGATTTTTTTCAGTTGATATCTGGTGTCCAACTGCCATAAAAATGTGAAATTCTCTATAAGATCCCATATAATTTTTAATTGTATTTCTGATGCCAGACAATTTTATCTGGTACGTGTTCTCTAAACACTTCTAAATCCTTTGACCTGAACAAAGTTTTTAAACTCTAACTCCGAAAAACTTTCCAGGTTGGTCAAAGAAGTGTATAGAGAACATGTAGGAAGACATCATTCTATTTGCACAGGATTAAGTTGGGGGGAAAATGCCTCACTTAAGCATTTCTGATTGTTTTTAGGCAAGACAGTACAATAAAAATTTACTAGTTAAGAATGTTATCAATATGATACAAGTAAGTACATTGCAGTATGTTAGTGTATCTTATAAGAAAATAAACATTATTAAACATTTTTTGTTCTGCCTACATTTGTGTAAACATTTTTTACAAGAGTAACATGCTATCAAGTTGGTTATAGCTGTCATTGTATAATAATAAAATGTTAAGTCCAGCGATCTCCTCTCTCAGAATTTCTCTAAATTTTAACAATTGAAGAATATTGTCTGTGTTTGGAGATTCATTGGATGTGTTATTAGCAGCAGCATCAGAATTACTCCAAAACAAACTTCAGAAAACTTTAATGAGTTTGTTTATAATGTAATTTCTCTAATTATTATTGCTATGTTTTCAACGGTGTAATCAAAATTGTCTAACTTAATGTTTAACCCTTTCTTTACCACCGGCGTAAAAATACGCCGGAGCGTACACCGTAATTTTTAATGCTAATGTTTAATTAAACATAAAAAATACTTTAAACTGAAAAAAAACGAAAAAAATGCGTTAATTTTGAAGAAAAAGCTTCAAACTTTATTTTCCTTTGTCTCGTCTTTCTGTGAAATATAACACCGATGAGTTATTGTTTACACATCTGGATGACCTTGAACACAGCTGGAGTTGGATTTCCCGGGGCATTCTCATAGACGTCGCGGGAGGACAAGGGTTTAAAGTAGGGCGAACACTACCTGGCCGTATATTTTTAAATGTTTTTAAAAAATTTGGAGACTTAAAAAACATTCCAAAAATTCAAAAAAAAATGTCAAAAATTTAAGGACCGTGTTTTGTGTAACGCTATGTAACCTGCCTGAGTTAACTCGGGCGAGGAACTAAAGGGGTTTTAATTAACTCTTCACATCCAGATATCAGTGATTTGTTTTTAAAGTGAGCTTTTGCAATTCGGGGATTCCCCTTGTAGTACTTTTCAATAAAATAAACTGAATTAAGTTTAAATACAAGTTTATTTTAAGCTTTTATATGAATTTCTTTCAGACATTCGAAGTAATTTATTAAGCAGCCTATTTCTTTTAATTTCTGCAAACTTTTTTATGCGGTTTTAAGTTAATTTTAACTCGTTGTTTTGGTTTTATGCGATTTTAGAAAATTACGGAACGTATCCCTACTTTTTCAAGGCAAGTAAAGTCTTTTTTTATGCGAATTTTTTATATGCGCTTTTCTGTAGAACGTATCCACCGCATAAAACGAGACCTTACAGTAT